TTTGGGTTGAAGTGTTCTGGAACAGTGTTGTAAATGCAACTTAACCACTGATTTCTAATTGTGTCCATTTTTGGAAGGCCAAACAAAGTAGTTTCACTTTCACAACGAAACACAGCGTCACACACAGTGGCCTAGAGTGAGCAGAGGCCGGGGGCTAGAGTGAGGAACGGCCAGAGGGCTAGAGTGAGCAGAGGCGGCAGATTCGACGAAGGAGCGTCCGGAGGGCTTGCGGCACCCACATGTGACAACCCCGGGCTGGACTCCGCTTCGTCCACAGTGAAAGCCAATCCGGTGATCCACAGTGCAAAGTTGTAGTATTTCCTCAGAGTCCAGCACAGATCAGCTCCAGGCATTATGAAGCAGATATCGTCCTCTTTTGGAAGGCCAAACAAAGTAGTTTCGCTTTTACAACGAAGCACACAGCATCTTCACGACATGGCGGCGGCGGCAACAATAAAACAGCGAGAATAAAAGTTACGCCTTCTTTCTTTGCATGAACATTTGGGAGGCGTTATGCAAATCTTCCCACATAGTGACATAGATATGTGGGGGCGTGTTAGAATGAGCCGTTTTAGGTAGGCGTGGTTAATTTGCTCGTTAACCAAAGATTTTTCAAAAGGAATGTTGAAATTTTAATGAGCTAGATTCGCGCTTTGGGACCATGATATTTTCATCTGTATATACTGTATAGTCGTCCAGACGGCTGACAATAATTTATATACCAGGCTGTAAATTTTATTACAATGATCAGATTAGCATGATTAACATTAAATATAAATGAAAAAAAAGTAAAATAAAAAAATTAAAAATTTGCATGATACAGCAGATTGAAACATCGAGGTCCCCTATTTTTTCTTTGTTGAATAATATAAATTTCACCACTAATATGACCAAAATTCCCTCTCGGATGCTTTTACTCCTGTGGGGGAAATGCCACCTTTGGGTTTATCAGGGTGTATTCACACCTGTCTTGTTTGGTTCGATTGAATCGAACTCAAGTTCATTTCCCCTCTTTGTGCGGACCTTTTTGGCAGGTGTGAATACAGCAATCGCACTCGGGTGCGGACCAAACCACCGTACCGAGACCCAGCTGAAGAGGTGGTATCGGTCCGCTTCCAAACGAACTCTGGTACGGTTCGTTTAAGATGTGAATATGACCCGACCTCGATCTGACCCAATTGCAGAAATCTTGCTGAGAAACAGACAGCTCACGCATAGTGCTGTTATTTACGTTTCAATGGCTTAAATCACTTGTTTTTAAACCACAATGCTTAAAAACAGATGCAAATGGTGAGTTTTCGTGACCATGGCGCACAGCACCGTGATGTGAGCGCGCTAAATAGGCTAAAACTTGCCACAAAAATTACCATGACTATGTTAGGGGAAAATAGTAAGGATTTATTTGAATTATTTATTAATAAACTAGTGTTTTATGAGTCCGTGTGGCAAAGATAAAGTTGATGATCCTGACTCGCCATCTCATCATTGGATGCGCTTTTAGAAAGAAATGCATCTTTATGGATTACATAATAATAAGAGTTTTTGTTTTGGATTTGAATTATTTAGTTTTGTAGTCATTTAAAGCTTTCTATAGATATATTCATGATGTCTGTAAGGAAAATATTCTCTGAGTTTCGGTTCATTTTTGTGAAGCACTCCTGTTCAAGACCCGAGACGGAAAGCGCATTCTATTTGTTTTTTTTTGTTTCTATTTACAAAAGCATTCTTGATATTGTGAGTGCACACAAAATAAAATAGACCCTTTTTCGATTCTGAACGATGTACTATTCTTACCTTTATGAGCAAAAATGACGGCGTATTTAATTTGTTTCCACTGATGTCCTGAAGTGCACTTTCAAGGCTTTACTCAAGTTAAAACACTTTCATCATCCTCATGAATGTATGCTGGTTTACCTAAAGGCTACAACACACACCAGTTTTTGTTCTGTGCTGATCACAATCGAATCCTTTCATTATAACAACAGAGTGTATACACGACAATGTTAATAATATATTAATTGCGTAGTGTGAGATAGTTGTTTTTCATTGGTCATAACAGAACTGTGTGAGATCGCGATGAACAAAGAGTGACCGTTTTTAGTGGTTAAAAAAGGAGCGCTCTTTGCGAGCTTTCTAGGCAATAATCCATTTAAAATGTAGAACTTTGTTTTTCTGCCAAACACACGTTGCAAAGTTTC